TTACCCAGGATCAAGGTAAGACTAACTGGCCTATAGTTTCTCTTCTGTCCAGATCCTTGCAGCCACCCTATAACAGCTACATAAGCAGAGCCAGCTGTAGAGCTGGATGGCGGGGCAACCGCCCAAGGTGCCATGGACAGGGGTGCCATACACACACACACGCATGCATGCATGCACACACTTGCCCTACCTTGCCCTGTTGCTTATGCCAGGCAGGAGCTGTCGTAGGACTTCAGTGCCAACTAGACCTGGGGGCTGAGCAGTGGAGTCTATTCCCCTGGCCACACCCAGAGCAGATTGGAGCTGCCCAGGCACATATAAAGCAGCCAGGTGGTGGTTGCAGGAACTGCCAGAAAGCATGACAGTCTGGGAGGAGGGTGCCAAGGATTGGGCTAAGGAGAAGGTAGAAGGGTTGGGAAGACCTGGCTTGTGCATCAAGGGCTTTGCCATCATCAACCTGCTGGGGCTGGAGGCCAAGCTGCAGCCCCCTTGGCTGCTACCACCACTGCTGAGGGTGGGTGGCACTGAGTGGCAGTGCTCTGCCGCTAGGGCTGGGCTTCCTGTGCAGGCAGTCCTGCCTGCTGCCTGCCCACCTGCCCTTCCTGCCACCCGGTACCAAGCCCCCACCACCTAGCACCAGGCCAGCATCTCAGAGGACACACACAGCTTTGTGACAGCCCATGGGATCCCCTGCCATCTGTAACTACTGGGGCAGGTGTGGCCCTCATGCACACACACACGTCCCCATACATATCCACATCCCACAACACATATACACACACACACACACAACCCACACGTGCATCTAGACACCCACTCCCCTCACACTCCCTCTCACTCCCCCACATACACATACCCCATGCACATACCCCACACACACAGTGCCGGTGACTTGGGGGAGGGTGCCAGGGGGGCACTGTGGCAGGCGCCAAAATACAAGTTTGCCCAGGGTGGCATTTTCCCTAAGGCCACCTCTGTACATAAGTACCCTGCAGAGGCTGCTTCCTGTACTCAACATCTGCTTAGCTTGGCTGCTTCTGGGGTGTCCTAGGTGTTCTGCTGTGAAACTGGGATCGTTAAGACTTTGGCCCTGGCACGTTGAAGGAATAAGATTTTGATTTTCTACATTTGGTGTACTCATGATTTCTGCTCACTTTAGTGAGGTGTTCATTACCACGCAGCATCAGACCCCAAGCCTTCAGGCAACAGCACAGCTCCACAGCACGAAGTTCAGATGAATTCCACACCCTAGACACAGTGGGACAAGCTAGGGGCTATGTAAGCAGGGAGGATCCAGAACCGGGGCTAAATCCCTACATATTATTTACATTTTTGGCTTCTAAGTACAGTACAAGGGTAACCAAGAGGCAGGAGGAAGTGCATCACAGCATCTCTCTTAACATTACTCATTTTATAAAGACTCATCTGGATGCAGCCTCTGGGTTTCAGCAAAGTTCCTAGTTTTTAACTCAATTTTCCAGCTGGGTTGATAAGAAAATCAAGTGACTTTGCCCAAGGTCATACAGTGAGTTAGTGGCTCAGCTGTGACAGAAACCCAGGAGGCTTCTGGATGCTCCTAGTCCTTTTTCTTTAAGCTCTAACCCGGCTTGTTTTCTTTCTGCCACAAACTGCCTGTGATCACAGCACATTCCACCACTACAGTGGGTTGCAGTGGTGTGCCGTGTGTTGGCATGTAACTCACATAAGGTTGTCACAGAAAGTCGCAAAGAAACTTCCCCCCCGTTTTATACATACATACATATATATCTGTATGTGTATATGCATATATATATATGAATGCAGAGTATTTAGATGATTCCTTACCAACAATTCTGTATTGTGCCACTGCCTTAGCAGTACATGATAAGAGTCAGCCACTGAAAGAATAAAAAACAAACAAAAAAGGATTTAAATAGTTATAGTAAATTTAAGCAGCCAACATCACTTATCACTTAAAAACTGGACCACAGCCATTTTTGTTCTAAAATAAAATAAATCACCTAATACACTGTACCTTACCATGGTCTTTGAGCCTACAAGTAAAGAATGATGTATGTTTGTTTTAGGGTTGTTTTTGTATTTTCTGTATATTCTGTATATTTTCTGTATGCTGTGGGGCATGGATAGGCTTGACAGGGGATGTGAACTCCTCTCTGTTTCCTGTAGTGAAGTTAGACAAAAAGATTTTCCAAATGGGAAATAATTCTGATAGCTCCATTGAGGCTGTTGTAGGGGAGGTGGTCTGTATCACCATGAGAGAATGAAAGAATAGTGTGACAAGATCATATTGTGGACAACATGGTAAAGGCTGAGAGCCTCTGCTGAGACACTTGTCTTAGCTGTGCATAGTGTGCAATGTTGATATAATAAAACAAAAGTCGTGCTGCAAGCTACACACACTAGTTCAAACAGGAGTTGGGCAATATCTTTGAGGAAAAAAAATAAAGAATTCTTCATTCGTAGCCCCAAAGACTATGGTAAGGTGCACTGTGTTAGGTGATTTATTTTTTAATTTAAAGATCAGGTGATAAGATTGGTACAGCTTCCTTGGACTACCTATCCCTCAGGCTGTTTAAAATCTATCTTCTTTTTGCTTCTTCAAACCCAGGCATGTCACGAATCCTAAACTAATAGTTCTTATAGCTGGACATCTAGGGCTTCACTGTAGGCTTTCAGTGGGGTGCAGTTTTGCTATTGACTCCAGGTTGGTTAGGGTTTCACCCTTATTGTACAGTTACTCTCTCTAAGAAAATGTAACCACAACCTTTATGCTATTCTTTTCCATGTTACTTGGGAGAAAACAGGCACTAGTAAAAATTTAATTTTAGATCATGGGAAGAAAAGAATTTGTGGCAAAAGACAACAAAGAGCATAATGAACATGAACACTTCTCACCTGTGTTTCACTGAAATAAATTCTTCCATCCTCAGTTAAGTTATAAAATACTTCTAGAAAGAACAAAGAAAGCTTCAGACTGTTAGGAGGAGCTTAAAACACGTGAAAGCAAAGCTGTTGCAATTCTGAAGTGGAATCGAACAAGTTTCAACCACTCCACTTTTTTGTTCCCCATGCTCATTGATGCCTGAAGACTTGCAGAGACACAGGAAACCGATGAAAAGTCTTTCACTGCAAAGTGAATTTTTTCTTCCTCACATTCATTTACTGGCAGCTAGTGATCACTGTATGACCTGAAATGTCACTTGCATGCTGTCATTAATAAGCCCTGGAAGTTTATCCTGAGGAGAGCAATTGTGAAATGCTGTTCTCATTTATCTAGCTGTTGAAATTAGAACTGGCTGAAAACTTTCTGACAGAAAACTTTTCTGTGAGAAAACCCTGATTCATCTAAATGTTTCATGTCCTGGGAATGTTTCCATTTCAGAAAAATTTCATCTTGGGAAAAAAAATCAAACTACATTAATAAGGTCAAAATGGAATATTTTGATTGTATTTTTCTCTCTGGAGCTTATTATAAGCAAATGTACAACTAGGGATCTCAAGTCAGCATGGAACACTTCAGTCAAGAACTAGAGTTTGTTTTACAGGAAGCTTCAAAATTTGGTCTAAGCAAATCACAGAATCATAGAAAAGTAGGGCTGGGAGGGGCTCAGGAGGTCTAGGCCAGCCCCTGTTCAAAGCAGGATCATCCCAGCCAAGGCTTTGTCTAGCTGAGTCTTAGAAACCTCCAAGGATGGAGGCTTCACAACTTTTCTGGCTAACCTGTTCCAGTGCTTTGCTGCTCTCCTACTGAGAGAGTTTTTTCT